AATTCTTATTTCATACTTTTTTGTTAAAATTAAGAGGTAAAATAATTTTACAAGTTTATAAAATAAATAACATTTATATTTTAGACATAGATAGCATAAGTGAGCCTAACAAAATTTGTTGTAGGAAAATTGCGCTGGATGTCATGGGTGTGACTTAGGAAACTATATTATACCAACACGCATATACTTAGAAAGCACTCATCTAAATTTAGCTAGAGTAATAAATTTGGATTACAATAATGATCATTTGTGTAACACATGTCAATTACAAAACTAGCTAAATTATCATTTCATTGTATTAAATCTGTTGTCACATCTAGACCTCTAAAGATTTTTCAAATATATCTATTTGGACCCATTAGTACAATAAGCATCCGAGGAAAGTCATATTAATTTGTTATAGTAGACAAAGACACTATATTTATTGGATAAGGTTTCTAGCTTATAAAAGTGAGTACTTTGATGAGTTTAGTGCATTTGCTATTTGGCTTTAGAGGAAGAAAGGTTATTCAATCTCTATAACTCATTGTGATCATGAAGGAGAGTATTTGAATAAAAAATTCAAAAGCTTTGTAAGGAATTAGGAATCACACACAATTTTGCAACACCAAGAACTCCTAAACAAAATATTGGCCTTGAATTGAATAAAAACCCCAATGAACTACATAATGGAAGAACACGGAATTTAGGTGTAAATATTTTGCACTAAATAATGACAAGTCTAACATAAAAATTTTTGAAACAAAATCTAATGAAAAAAATTGTAGATTCTACGTATTATCGAGTCCTAATTAGTCATTGTTATACTTTACTACAAGTCGACCTGACATTAATTTTTAGAGTATGCTTGTGCGCACGATTTCAAGCAGATTTTAGGGAAAAATCTTATTATCAAAAAAATAGTTAGGTATTTGATGTATACCTATATTTGATATTTCGTACCCTGGGAATGTTACTTCTTTTGCTTTTGTAGGAGATGCGGATTGAAACTTCATATAATGTATGGAGGATAAGAAGAGAACTTCAAGAGCCTACCAATTCATAGGGCATTTATTAATTTCAGGGTTTGTTGATCTATAGAGGAATTTAAAAAAAAAAATCAAAATCAAGATCGTTACGTACCACTCCGGCGTCGTTCCGCACAATCTCAAAATCTTGTTAATCCCATGATCAGACGTCCTACCATCAGCTACACACGATCATGTTCTATTCCCACGTTCGCCTTGAATGCACTATCTTCAAAACGACGACAAACTCCCTCGCACTCGCTTTTCTCCTCACATGCGAAATCCCAAGGCCAATCAACCCCCAACCGAAGCCCTAGCCAACTCCTCCTCAAGCCCCATTCGACAACCGTTGCTCCATCGACAATGCTCCCTTTTCCGGTCGGATTGGAAGTCCCGACGCTTTAATCGGAAGTAAAGACGGGAGCTTGGTGGATGCGAAGGTAACCATTTCCCTTCCTTTTCGTGTGCTTCTTCGACGACATTCCCTTTCTCTTGTCGGATCGAAAGTTGTGACATTTTGATAGGAAGTTAGGATGGGAGAGCCGACTGATTATGTGGGCATAGAGATTTTGCCCCTTATTGTTCCAGTTCAGACCAGTGATAATCTTATCGATGATGTTATGGACATTCGTACTACCCAGAAAAGACATGGGGTGCACCGACGATTTTGGTTAGATGGAGTGGACAGCCACTGATTGACTGTTCTTGGATTGAAGCTGAAGAGTTGCAACTTCATCATCCTAATATCTACCAACATATTATTAAGGCATTCTCGTCAGGATATGAGATTTTTCCACTAAGGGAGAATTAATGTAATCAAGAATTTATGTTTTATGTAATTTTTATTTTTTCATGATATTGGACATTATTTATTTTATTTTTGTAATGTCCTGTGATGAAAAACAACCAATGATCATGCTGGGTTCAGTACTCACGAGTTGATTTATACCATTGAGTTTGATCTTACTACCCCTCCCCTCTTTGGCTCTTCAATTTTCCCCCTTGTTGATTTGGTTGTTTGAGATTCTTCCCCGCTTCCTTTTGGCTTTTCGATTCTTCTCCCTTGCTAATTTGGCTGCTTAGGAATCTTCTTCTCTCCCTTTTGGCTATTCGGTTCTTCACCTTTTTTTATTTGGCTACTAAGGATTCTTCCGCTCTCTCTCTCTCTCTTTGGTTGTTTGGTTTTCCCCTTTTGCTTATTCATTTGCTTGATGCTTCGGCTTCTCCTTTGAGAGCTGATTTGGTTTGTTTTTATTGGCTGGAATGTTGGCTCATTTAATTGAACAATTAAATGCCCATTTCCCCTCCTATATAATGTAGCTGAAATTCTCTTATTGATGACAGTTTTTTAAGAAGAAAAACTCAACCTGAGGGTTCTTCATGGCTTGCGAGCTATTCTTTCCCTATCCCTTAATACTTCCTCTCGGACTTATTTCTACTTCTTCTCTCAATAGGTTCCCTTCCAACTGTATATTCTTTTCTAAACATTGTAAGTTGTGAGATGGTGTTGTTACCCTATTCTGTTGTTGGTATTTGCCTGAGGAGTGAAGAATTATGTCGAATCAAAATTTTCTGTGGTGGATTACTAGTTAGATCTTTCCTTTGAGCACCTTTCCCTAGTTTTGTGAATTGCATGTGAGGTGATCAATCATGATTTTTCTAAGGGTTGCTTTTGTTTGTGTTTTGTGTATTTCTTTCCAAAGTGATTTTTCTAAACAATTTCTAATATTTGTTTTCTAACAAGTCTCTCTCGGTTTGTGTTTGTTTATGTGTTATTGAGAGGAAGTTTCTTAATTGCGTGTCGAAATGTTCTCTTAAAAGGTTTAGAAACTTTGGTTGCATCAGCAAATTGGTGAGAGAAGTGGGAGAGAACATTTTCCATAGAGAGATCATTCATACATTGATTTGCAAACCTTTTGTGAGATTTTTCTACATGTGTTCACTTAATATTATATTCTTCATTTTTTTCTCCTCCGAATTTGCATTTGTGGTTGTTAAGAGAGCTTGTAATCTACATTTTTAAAGGATCATTAAGAATCAAAAAATTTATGTTGACTTTATTTGCTAATCAGTGGATTAGAGAAGCAAATTCAACTTAGAGAGGAATTAAGATGTATCCGATACCTATTAGGAGAGGGGTTTCTTTGACCAGTGGTAGTTGAGGGAGAGGATAGTGAAATCAAAGGGGAGAGAGAGAGAGAGAGAGGTGCCAGTGTTAAACCATAATAAATTGGTTTGCATATCTTCCTTTTCTTTCCTTAACGCGCTACTATTTATATTTATCTGCTCCTGCTTCTATTTGATATGATAGTAATTCATATCATGCTTAATCTCTAATGTGACAAAATGCTAAGAATAATATAATTACTTTGCTATTGATCTCACAATTGTAAAAATTAGTTGAATGGAATAAAATAGAAATATAGAATTATTTATTAGTTGTACAATTACCTTGGAAATATTTTGTTTCATCAAAATATACTATTTTTATTGAAAAAATAAATATATAAAAATACTTTTGTTCCATGTTTTATTTATTTTAAAAAATATATACTTTCAAATTTTGAAATTTACTTACATAATGTGTGTGTGTGTGTGTGTGTGTGTACCTCATATATCTAACCCAAAATGGTTAATGGTTATATATACTTACTCAAAGAGTTGAGCTTAAATTGTTAAGTTCAAAGGAGTGAAATTCTAAGTCAATGGAGGGCTTAGGCATGAACTTAGGATAGTTAGTTGTAGGACTAGGAAATAATCCAAGGGTCTAATTCTCTAAAACTTAGATATGCATTCTTGCCACATTATTATTTATTTAATCATTTAATTGTTTGTATTAAATATTGAATTTGACACTTAAGTGCAATACTTGTTCTTGTACTAGTAAGTAGAGCAAGACTCATTTACCTGGGCTTAAATTCTTACTGCTCTCAATCTTAGCATTTATCTTGTAATCACCATCATATTTGGATCATCGACACTTGTGTAACTTTCATGTTAGTGATTGAACTGATATAGTTTGTGTAGCTGAGATTTTCAATTTAATTGGACGTAATAATCAAAACTCACTCGCATAATTAAATCTTTACACCATAAGTTAACTTGTCTGGTGTCCCCTGTTGAATAAGATTATTTGATTAGAAATGTGCATACACTAACATCTTTAAAGATTGTGGCTATCATTTGAACTATTCATATTAATTAATACATATAATGTATATCATTTCTCCTCCAGTTGCACTCTTAGTTGCACGTTTAGATTATTTGCTTTTGCGTTATTTTAATTATGAAGGCTTGAATCAGTGCATTTTGAAAAAAGATCCAACGTGCGCCATTGCAATTTCCCACTGCGCAACAAATTTCTCACCCATTCCTCTTGGTATTCCCTCATCCAATAATAATCTATTTTCCATATTTCATCAATTGGATTTCGTTCTGACATATCACTTCTTTATGATGTCCACAACCTAATCTATTTCTTTCCACAATTAAATTGAAAAGGTACATGACAAATAGATAACGTTCTAGCCAATCTTTAGCTACTTCTCACAATAAGCAGGTTAGTTATGCAGCTTCACTCCTAGGGAAATCAGTGATAAGAAATCTAAGCATATCAATTACACGAAATAAATTAGGCAATTATTATCAGTGGTGGTTCCAAGAAAATTTCCTATAGAAATGTTAAATTTCACAAAATTATCTAGAAACAGAATATATACATATGAGAAAATGCACGATAACCAAAACTTTTCCTGCTAAAGCACAAAAGAAATCATTTCAGACTATATGACGTCAAAAACAGAATCAAGAACACCTTTTTCTTGAATCACTATCTAAAACACCAAACACACCCTAAACTACGCAAAAGCAGAAGGCACAACGAAATTCTACAAGGAAAACAATACAGTTAAGCAAAAAACCATCAATCGTTAAATCATTCATCCATTCAAGAGATCGTCGCCGAACTTGGGTTTCAGAGTTTCAAAAGCATACCACCGGGAACGTGGTTAAGCGATATCCCCGTACTGGATAGCGCCTGCTGAACGCCAGCATTGATCAATGTGGTGTTCCCATAGGCTGAGATGGAGACCGGCCCCCGGTAATTCATAGCCACCAGAGCGGAGCTTATGTTTTTCGCGATTACGTGCGGATCGCAGGTTTTCGGCACTTGGCAGTTCTCGATGTCCCACCACACGGACGTCTTCGCGGTCGCATAGTTCCCGTCCGCCGTCCCACCGCCGACCCCGGCCAACGTCGAGCCACCTTGACCGCCAATAACTGTGTTAGCCATGTTTAATTGATGGTTACCGGCTTCACCGAACCTAGCCGTCATCGTTTTTCACCGTCCACACTCCCCCTTCCGGTCGAGGTCGCCTTCGTTTTCTAAGTAAATGTGTCGGCCTCGTTCAACACCAATAATTTCAAAGTTAATGAAATACTTATTTGTGTTAAGCGAAATTTTTTTATATATTTTATGAGAATATTAAAATTTTATAATAGAGATAATTCCTCTCTTCGGTGAATCTTAAATTCTTGAACGAGGCTCTTTTACTCTCCTAAAATTTAAATTCTTCTATATAAGTATTTGATGTCCATGAGCAATAATGCCCAATATTTTTTTTTTTTAATGCCCAATATATTAAAGCATAAATTGAAAATCCTTCTCCATTGGAGTTACCATAAATTTATAACCTATATGAGAACTTCTTGAAATGGAGCTTTTATTTGGTCCGGTGAACGTACGTAGAGCTACGTTCGGCCGGCTCTAAGATCGCAGGCACAAAACGAGAAATACCGAGCAAATAGCAAGCAATACCAACAATAACGAGAAATACCATTATATGAAGACAAAATACCGAGTAATACTGAGTAATACCGAGCAATACCGAGTAATCCCAAAAAATACCGAGTTTTTCTTGCTCAGTATTGTTCGGTATTACTCGATATTGATCTTCACAGAGTGGTATTCATCGTTATTACCAAAGAATACCTAGCAATACCGCCCAAATACCGAGCAAAAATCGAGTAACAATCCTCTGACCGAACGTAGAGCTACGTCCGGTCAGAGAACGTAATAAAAGTTCCTTGAAATGAAGCCAATGTTAAGACTATTATGTTCTAAAGACAATTTGAGACTATTATAACTCAAAGTAAGATATGATAAGAAACTACAAATAATTTTACCCTCCCAAGATGGCTTTATATTCCTTGTTTGAATGTTCCTTATAAATGCACGACCCATGATTAATCACCTCTGCCGTGAGGGAGCAAGCTATTAATTAAGGCCATATAAAGGCTATTATAATGATTTATGCTTCAATGATTTTTTGAATAGATAAGTGAAGAACTTGTATACTCATTGGGAAAAAGGTGATTGGTGGGAAGATGATCAAAATCTCAATCAAAATCCCTTTTGCACTTTTAAACAACTCTAAAAGTATGAATGAACTAGATTGTATTGGATTTAACTAAGGTAGCTATAGCAAAATGTGGTCCATGTTATTGGTCTAACTATATGATGGCATAGTGCTAACCATAAGTCTACTAGTTTAAGTAACTAAGTTGATATGAGGCTAATTTTAACCCAGTGTAATTTTTTAAGCGCGAGGTATGGCTCAACCTCTACTAACTAGAAATGATTTTCTTTATTAATGAGAGGAATGTTATTGCAACTCTAAAGCATAGCTATCTATATAGTGTTTGTGAGTCTCCCCTCCCAAAAGTTATTTGATGCTACACCACATATATGCATTTATTGACATATTACTATATTAGACAAACTTTCTTTTTTTATTCAACCAATAGCTATAATTAAGCTCTATCAAAATCTTAAGTGCAATATGGAGATTTATAAATTAATACGCCACTAAAATTTTCTCAACACACTACTAGTTTTTTTGGGGAAAAAATCGATTGAATTTGCTCCTAAAGCATAAGGAAATATGCAAAACACAAAATAAATCATGGAATAAATGTAATTACTACTTATACAATAATTAAACTACAAATAATGACCTAATTCAAATCTTCTTAGATTGAAATGTTTATGCGTCAATTACTAATTTTATGTGGATTCACAGGGTTATATTATTTATTATTTATTATCAATTTGTAAGAAAATTTTAATAAATTGGATCTCCCTTTGGTAGTATCATGCTGCTGTCTTATTGGTGTTGTGGCGCTGTCCTCTCTATTTGTAACGTGGCAGCACTGTCATATGTTGGAGTGTTGATAATCTCTCTATTTTCAAAAGCTAATAAATGGAAAGTATCTCTCAGGGCACTCTAGCAAAGTCACATTAGGTGTTGTGACACTAACTTCTCTACTTTCTAGAATAGAAGTGATCCCTTGGGAGTATCGCGACACAAAAGTATTGGTGTCACAGTGATAAGGAAAATATTTTTTTTATAAATATCCAAATACACTATTTGGTCATGTTTGTGCTTCATATAAGTAAAGTTATATACATTGATAAATCTTATAAGTTTTACTATTTTTCATAATTATAAATTCTTATACAATGTTTGATGAAAAGGTAAAATTCTACATTTTAACTAAATGCTAACTCACTAGTATTGGTGTCTTATAAGACATTCTTGCAATAATTATTGGGTGACTTACATGTTATTTGTGAATGATGTGTACATGTGAAATATGTAGGATAAAAGGGCTTGATAATATACATGTGACAGTTTCGAGGCATAAAGGCTTGATACTATACATATATGAAGTACCTGAGATATATAAGAGCTTAATATTGTATATGTAAAGAACAGTGAATTACTTGGGATGAATAAGGGCCTAATACTCTATATGTGAAGCAATTAGGATGTATAAGGGATTGATGATGAATATGTGAAAAACTTTATATATATAAGAGACAAATAAGGAAATTGATGTGATGTGTTTTATTTCAGTTATCTTTATATTACAATCAAACACATCTTTATATTAAATTTCTATGTTGACATTGGGCTTGATATAATATAACGATAGACTTGCTAAGACATTATATTATATTATTAGTGTGATCATGATTAGAAAGTTCTATAATATAGCATGTTGTACAATTTCAATTGTGGTAAAAAAAAAGGATGTTCATTTATTATCTTTTTAGTATATTAAGAATTTAGGCGGGTTTTGGATAACCTACTGAGTTTTGATGCTCATTTTTATTTTATCTATAAGTGTAAATTTTAGGATAAGGAAATGGAAATGCACAAGTTGAGTAGAAATAAAAGTGATAGCTTTTTGTTTATAGGTATATTTTTTGTTAATTGTAATGAATGGTGCAAGTTGTGGTAACCTACAATGAATGTAACAACACCTAGCATTTAATATTAACATATGAACATGCATATTAAATCATGCAAGCAATAAATTTTTTAAATTAGTTAATATTATTATTTTATTTTAAATATTTAATTAGTTCATTTAATTTTCTTTTTAACATACAAATGTATAAACATATTAGAATTTTTTTTGTATTACAAAGTTATTTTAAGAAGTAATAAGAAAGTTATCCTAAATGAAGCTTTAGTGTAATAACTTAAATTTATGAAATAAATTTTCTTAAAAATATAAAAATTTTGAAATAGAGTGCTTTGGTACTAATCTGATGAGAGCTATGGTGCTAGACTAATAACAGTATATATATATATATACCTCACCCCCCTGAATCTCTCACTACTTTGATTGATTGGCCACGAATAAATTAAAAGAGTGAAAGAAGTGAGATAAGAGAGAAAAGTCTTTAGATTATATATATATATATATATATATACCTCACCCCCCTGAATCTATCACTACTTTGATTGATTGGCCACAAAGAAATTGAAAGAGTGAAAGAAGAGAGATAAGAGAAAAAAGTCTTTAGATTATATTTATCAATCATTTATGTTACGGATTTTGTTCTATTAATTGTAAGTGTCTAATCTATTGCTTCTGTTTTAAATGATTTTGATTTTTATGAATTTTATCTTTTCTAAATCTATAAAAAAATATAATATCCTTATTTCAAGCTTTCATCATGCAAGTTTTGATATTATAGATTTGCTCATTCTAAATAATTTAATATGATTTTATTGCATTTAAAATGAAATACTGAGTGATATCAGATACATGAAACATGATATCATACTGATCTACGTGATTCACTGATTGGGAGTCATAAAGAGCTGGAGATTGATTGAAAGTTATAAGGAGTCGGGGCAACTGATTTACGTGATTCAAGGAGAGTTATAAGGGGTACATTAATTGAGAGTTATAAGGATAAACTAATTAGGATTCATAAGTGTAAGAGCAAGATACCTTTAAGATATACTAATTGGATATCTAAATATTGATACCAATACTGCTACAAATATTGTACGTATTGATATTATGACTAACACTAATAATGTTTTCTATCATTATCATTATTTAACGTTATTGATTAGCACTATTGGCTGTTACTGTTACTATGATTGATGATATAATAGATTGCAATGTAATGAACTATAGAATGATAAATTTATACATATAATCAATATAGACATTGATGCATATATTTTCTTATATAATTTTATATTATATTAGTCTCTTTTATTTTGCATTGATTTCAGTTGTAAGATTTTAATTATTTGTGAAGCTATGTGCTTATTACATAAGTTTTACATGTTTTTAAAAAAGTGTAAGGATCATATGATATGAGGCTCTGAGCAAGACAAAAATATAATCATATTTTTTCCCACTATTCATTGGTAAGCTCTAGTTAAATGACTAAAATTAAAGACATATATAATTCTTCCAATATAAATCCTAGAGTGTGACACTTAATGTTAGAGTGCCTTTGATGCATATTTTTTATAGATTAGCTGAATTTAGAATGATTTCCAGTAGTCTTTCTAGCACTCAACTTGAAAAATTGATATGAATTATTTTCTTTGTCTAATAATTTATGTGTGGCGTTTTTTCGTAATGTAAAGTGGTCGAAAATCTCCAGTTCAGTAGATTAAGGGTCCAGGCTTAGCTATCCTTTTAAAATAGTTCTTTTTTCCTAGTAGAATTTTAAGTATGCAAGTCAAATTAAGCATAGCTAGGCTTCTTCTTCTAAGATTGGGGAGAAGGAAGTACATATGAGGGAATTTGGGTGAGGAAAGAATTAGGGGTGTCAAGATTTGACACGACAAAAAAACCCAACTTGAACCGACCCGGAAATTTCGGGTTTGACCCGACCCGATTTCAAAACGAGTAGGGTTCAGGTTGACCCGACGGGTTGCCAGGTCAACCCTCGAACCTGTTTAAAATCAACTATCTGCACTGCCCCGCCTACCCACGAAGCACCAGCGCTCGCCCGCACGCACTCGCCTGCACGCCTGCCTGCCCGCTTTCACTTGCCAGTGTGGCCACTCGCGCACCTGTTTCAAG